TCCTTGCACATGGCAAGTGACCATGTCGTGTGCCTCAGTTTCCCCACCTGAAAACTGCCTCGTCCCCCTGCCTGCAGTTCTCAGAGTACTCCCCTCCCAGACCCCAAAGGCAGGGGTTAGGGTCCCCTAGCCCCCTTCCTCCACCCTCCCATTTGGGGGGACCCCAGAAGCGCCTCCTCTGCTGCAGAGCCACTGCCCTAAGTGGCCGTCGCGGGCTTGAAAGCCCAGGAGCCTCTCCCCTGAGGGTGAAGGTGCAGACGACAGGGAGCCCTGTCCCAGTGGCAACACATTTCCTCTGCTTTCGAGATGGGCTTTGCGACCCGGGCAGGGACACACCCAGAGTCGGAGCGGCTGAGCGGGGCTGGAAGGCCAGACAGCACCAGCCCTCGAGGGCCTTCCCATGGCTCTCCTACGCTTATGCAGCACCAGCTGCGAGCCCCGGCAGGGTGTGAGCGCTGGGGGTCCACAGGGACTAGGGCTAAATGCACAACCAAGCAGAGGCCTTGCCTGAAAAGGGAGGGAAAAGAGAACTTTAGGGCCTCCCCGGTGGTGCAGCATGGTAAAGCGCAGCACTATGAAGCTGGCTGCAGCCCTTCACCAGGAGCTCGATCCCTGGCCGGGGAGGGACCCCAGGGCGCAGCAGACCCCTCCTGTCTCCCCACCGCTCCCCTCAGCAGTGGATCTCAGTAGATCCACTTGTTTTGCTCCCCACTGTCTCTGGGTCATCCTCTCACCCCCCAATACCTCTAGCATGTACCCCAGTTCTTGTATGCATAAGCAAATCTTTACAAGACTAGAATTTTAAATTTAAGCAAATTCAAATAAAACCAATCAGGCATTCCTCCCGCCCCCGATCACACTTCACATGCACCGCAGCCACACAGGGCCGATGGCTACTACAGTGGACAGTGCAGCTGGAGAATGTGACCATCATTCCAGAAGGTTCTAAGGGAAGACACCAGACTCTGTGTCCAAGTTAAGAGACAAGGTAGAACCACCGATCTGGGGAAGGGGAACTGAGATCTGAGACTCCTATGCATGGAAGCCAAGATGTAGCAAGCCAAGATCCCAATGACAACATTGTAGTGTTTCTTGGTTTCTTTTTTTAATGTTGCCACTGAAAGAAACAGGGCAAAATGTTATTTTTTACAACTGTTTGTGAATCTAAATTTGTTACAAAATTCCAGGCACAAAATGTTGATTTCTGGGTCCCTGATCCTAGCCTGATGTGAGAGGCGGTTGCCCATTTTCTGCCATTGTGTGCAGGGGTGAAGCCGGCCCCATGGGGAACAGCATCCCCACGGTGGGGAGCACTGTAATGGCCCACGAAGGAGCAGAGGCTGACAGGGTGGGGTCCCTGCTCTAGTGACCTTGGGTTGGAAGTGACAAGTGACAACCTTTCTGTGACTACACCTGGGGCTCGGGGTGTCAGTTTTGGCAAGCAGATTAGACACTGCGATGAGCCCTCCCTGGTGGCGCAGAGGTTAAAGATGCAGCGCCATCAAGCTGCAGCGCAAGTTCCATCCCCGGCCAGGGAGGTGACCCACAGGGCGCAGGCCTCCCCTGTCTCGCCCTCTGCTCCCCTCAGCAGTGGGTTTCAGTCAGTCTGCCGCTCCCTGCTTTGTCTCTGGCAAGTCCCCTCCCCCTCTACCACCTCTGGCAATGAAACATGCATCCGTTGACCTTGTTCGTCTGTGAATCTGACTGCTGGGGATACACTGACCACAAGCAGGGCGCTGTCCCTAAGGGCTCTGTGCTCCCTGGCCTGTGGAGCAATGCCCGCCCCCCTGTGGGTAGCAGAGCCTCCCAGCTCACAGGTCACAGAAGGAAACAGAAGGGGCAGGAAGAGGTGGCGCTGTGGCTCTGTGCTTCCTCATGGGAAACTGAGTCTCCCCCAGGGAGATGACGGGTGTGTTGGGAATCCCGCAGCCTCTCCACAAGCCGCAACACCCAAGCCCCTGAGGAGTGAAATGAACAGGAGCGGAGGGACCAAGGGCACATGTGTCTTGAACCTGCAGCCTCCCGCTGGAGCAGCCCCTTACCGGGGTGAAGACCAGGGCTGGTGGGTCCCTTTCCGCACAGCCCAGAGCTTGAGCCGGGAGTCTGGCCCTCCTGCGCCCTCCCCACCAAGGCTCACCTCTCCTGGGCTTGAGCAATGAAGTAGGTGCTTCCTCAAGGCTGCCTGGATTCCATCACACTTCAAGCCAGTTTTTCCTTCTGGGTGAATCTAAGACCAGCAGTGGCCTCTGGGATTCTTCTGGAGGGGGACAATAAAAGGGGATAATGAGAGGGGTGGCACCTGGGGCTTGGCATGGTGATTAGTCACAATGACAGGAGTGAAAATGTGCCCACACCCCAACTCTGGGGAAGAGAGGCCTGTGCTGGCCTCCTCCCTACCCCTTGGGGTGATAAATCACACTGGATGCATTTAATGAACACTTACTGCATAGCAGGCCCTTTGTGGGCTCTATCATACTTTTCATTCTGATTGCGATGAAATTCACCCTTTCAAAGCAAACAGTTCATTACCAGGATTGTGCCACTAAACTTCATGTAATTCTGGAACACTCCATCAATCCCCAAAGAAACCTTGAACCTATTAGCCTTTTTTAATTTTTAAAAAGATTTATTAATTTATGCATACACAATTGGGGTACAGGCCAGAGGTGTGGGGGATGAGAGGATTCACCAGCGACAGAGTGGGGAGCAGAACAGGCAGATCAATGAAGTACACTGCTGAGGTGGCAGCGGAGAGACCTGAGGGGTCTGCTGCGCCCTGTGGGTCACCCCAGGCCAGGGATCGAACTTGCGCTACAGTGGCTGTGGAAAGCTTAGTGCTGCACTTTAATCCGCCGGCTGCACCACCAGGGAGGGCCCTCTTCCCTTTTCTTAATTGAGATAAAAGTGACCATTAAATGTACAATTAGGCCCTCCCTGGTGGTGCAGTGGGTTAAAGCACAGCACTAAGAAGCTAAAGTCACTTCAGCGTGAGTTTGAACCCCGCCCCAGAGGTGACCCACATGGCCGGCAGACCTCTCCTGACCCACCCGCTGCTCCCCTCAGCAGTGTACTTTGTCAGAAGCCTGTTCTGCTCCCCACTCTGTCTCTGGTGAATCCTCTCACCACCCCTGCACCTCTGGCCTGTAGCCTAGTTCTGTCTGAATAAATAAATAAATCTTTTAAAAAATATATACAATTAAGTTAATGCCATTTAGTACATTCACAGTGCTATGCAGCTACCACCTCTCCCTAATTCCAGAACATTCCATTGCCCCAGAGAAACCCATCCTCATGGGCACTCATTCCCCCACCCCTGCCCAAACCCTGGTACTGTCCTGGCCATTTCACATCAATGGAAACACAATGTTGGCTTCTGTCTGACTTTTTAAAAAAAATAAAACTTTTTTTTTTAAGAAACAATTTTTTGGTTTACAGAGAAACCAGAGAATGGAGTTCTGTTCGCTCCCTCAGGGGGTCACAGGGCAGCTCCCCTATCACAGATGTAATCTCAGGGTGATGGCACTATGCAGACACCCGCACCAGCTGGAAGTGAGCCTGAGTGCCCGCTGTGCTGGTGACCGCAGCAGGCTCTCACCACAGTGGAGGTGGACCCGGGTGACCGATGGCCACAGTCACAGCCTGGCAAGCGCTCCGGCTCCTGCAGCTCCAGGATTTTCCTGCTGCTGCTCCAGGAAAGCCACGTGGAAGGGGCGGATCAACAGAGGAAACCACAAACAAAAATCCACAGCAGGCTCCCAGAACAGGCTGTGCCCTGCCTGGACTTGGCAGGCGGCCGGGGGCAGGGACGGTCAGTGCCTGGGCTGGCGGGCCGGGTGGGGCCGGGTGCCACCTAGGGGAGGCCCTCCCGGAGCTGGCACCACACCTCTCCCCACACAGGCCTGGCCAGGCCAGGGGCTGGGGGACGTGGCCTGGCGCTGGGCAGGCTTGCAGGGGAGGCAGCCCAACAAATTTTGTGGGGGTCAGGCGTAAGGGTGTCCAGCTTGCCTCCTGAAGGAACGGTTGGGAGGGCTGTGCCACCTGCTGAGTCTGGGCTCCCAGTCCGTGCCCCTGCAGCCCCGCACCTTGCCAGACTGTCACCCAGGCCCGCGTCCCACTGCCCCATCGCCGCCCTCCAGGCTGTGCTTCACGGTGAAAGGCCACCTCACGCGCGCTCTCCTTCCCAGCAGTGTCCGGCCTCAGCGGCACTGTTGCGGGTCTGTGCGGGTCCTGTTAGCCTCCCTATGTAGTGGTGAGGATGGGGCTTCCAGAACTAACATCTAATTGGGTCTGACCCCAACTCAGACCGAGTGTCCACCCAGGAGAGATGAAAACACCCACACACAACCACACGATCCCATCACAGCAGCATGACTCACACCACCCCTGGGCGAGGTCAGCCGTGTCCACCAGCAGTGACCAGGTGCACACGTGCCCCCACACGGGGACTCAGTCGGCCACGGAAAAGGTGGCAGCTCTGACCCTTGTGACCACACGATGCTCAGGGAGAGAAGCCAGACACGCAAGGCCACACGGCCAAGTCCACTGACGAGAAGCGCCCCGGACGGGCCGGAGGGATTTGTGGTGCTGGGGAAAGGGAGGAGGCTTGGGGTAACTGCTGATAGCGATGGTTTCTTTTTGGGGTGATGGACTAGAACTAGAGGTGATGGTCACACCTTGTGAATGTACCAAAAAACACTGAATTGGACATTTTAAATGGGTGGTTAGTTTCCTGGACTTGATCTCAACAGTCATCCAAGAACATAAGCAGCTCCCCTGGCCGCCCACTGCCTGGACGTGCAGGGGCAGGTGTGCCGCACACCTGGCTCCTCAGTCCAGTCGAGCCCTCGCCGTGGGTGACAGGACACCCCGGGACAGCAGTCACCCTCACTGTGCTCCATCCAAATCCCTGCGTCGGCCTCCCGGGCAGGGATGGGATGGCTCTGAGCCACCAGTTTGGGGCAGCTTGTTACCAGGAGACACAGGAAGCGGAGGCCAGCGCATGAAGTGGTTTCACGGCTTTTATTAAATCCTTACAAAACAGAATACAAAATTCCGGCATTGACAGTTGGCGTAAAGGAAAACTTGAGCTGTATCAGTTCACCTGGTACAGTGGAGTTAAAGTGCTTGGATGTTTTTCCCCCACTTTTATACATTTGAATTTTTTTCTTCAATACGGTAACATTGCAACCCCAAACGCTGCTGCCCGCTCCCAGCACCCCAGGGCCCGCCTTCTTCACAGTTCGCTCTGACCAGCCTCCGCCGCACTGTCCGCCGGGGCGACAGGCAGAGGGGAGTGCTGTCCCACCTTGGGAAAAAATGAAGTTGCTCACAGCTCAACTGTCTAGACTAAAATGGCCTTGGTGCCTGCTCTGGGTGGGGTGATTCCTTTTCACATAAAAGCAAAGAAACCCCACTTGCAAAATGTGGGATCTCGGATGGGCGAGAAATGAGGGCAGAAGCCCTCCCACACCCAGGGTCTCTTTGGGAAGGAGGGTCCACAGATCCAGGGGGGCTGGCCGCCCCCACTGACCACCCCAGACCACAACCAGAGACTTGGGGGGCCAGAGATGGGGCGTCCAAGCCACATCCTCAGCCCCACGAGGCCCCCCGACATTCAAGTATTCTTCGAGAACAGGGAAGCAAAGTCAACTGATGTTCAAAAACCGAGACAGGACAGACCGGAGGCCAGCGCTGTCGGGACTCTGCTGAGGCGGCAGCTCGTGTGCATGTAGAAAAGGGAGAAAGGAAGCCTGTATTGCATAGTGTTTCATGCCCAAGGCCCAAGGGACACGGAGGTCTCCCGGCGCCCGGTGGTCACACGACATCTGACCTGGTGCTGGACGGGCGCAGGGGGGAGGGGGGCATGACTATTCCTGGGAGGCCGCAGGAGCTCGGCCAGTTTCCTGAAGCTGGGCAGAGAAGAAAGGCTGCCCTTGGGGTGGGGGTGCAACAGTCCCCCAGGGTCACGCCATCTCCAAAGGGGGAGGAGCTGACAGAACTCCCATGACAGGTCTGAGAGGGGAGGACGGGAGGCAGGACATGGCCAAGGTCAGACTGAGCCCTGAGAAGGGGCACTTGGGTGCCCAGGTGGGAGGGGGTCTGTGGGACCCCCAAGTTGGCTGACAGGTGCCGGTCCAGCTCCTCCCACATCCTCTGGTGCCACCCTCCTGGATGGACAGAGTCCCTAGCGGGAGGGTAGAGCCAGGGGTGTGCCCCCTGGCTGCAGTTTAAGGTCAAGGTTCAAGGAAGCCCCGATTGTCAGTCTCATAGGGACAGAGACAGCAGGGGTGGGGGTGGGGGGACCCGGTGGGCATTTGTCTGTCCCGCCTGCCGGTGCCCATGCCTCTCCCTCTCTTGTGACAAGAGGGACCCAAGGGGCCCCAGCCCCCCCACCAAGCCACCAGGGCATCTTTGGGTGAGGGATGACAGGAAGCACAGACAGCCGTCCCTGAAGACACGGGGGCACTGGGAAGGACACCCCAGCTCTGGAAGACAGCGAAGCCCCCCTCCTGAGCCCTGGCGGGGCGGGGCGGGGGCTTTCACAGTACAGACGAGCATCTGGGGCTGGGGCATCAGGGAGGGGCACACCAGCCACACGCACCCTCCGCTCTCCTCCAGGGTGCCTCTTTGTTTTCAACACAGTAAAAAGGGGGAAAAAGGGGTGGTGGGGAGGGACAGAAAAACAGGGGAAAAACCCAACAGCAAAAACCTATATAAAACCATCCCCAGCTGAGCTTCACACCCAGAAACCCAGCCGGGGAGGGTGTTCAGGGAGGGCAGCCTCTGTTCACAGGCTGTCAATAGCTTAAAAAAATCTGCAGATTTGATGGTGGGGAAGGGCCTATGTACAGGGAGGAAGAGGGTCACACATGGTCCCCCACCAGGACCATGGGGGCAGCTGACAGGCTGGCACGCTGCTGCTGCTGCTGCTGGCGGCGCTGGGCCAGCTTGGACTGGGAAGGGGGAGACAGCTGCAGGCAGCGTGAGGTAGCTCGGATGACCACGGGCTGGCCCTGCCCAGCCTCCTCGGCCGCATCCTCCTCTCGCTGGGCCAGCTGCCGGTTCATGGCGATGGCCTCAGCCGCAAAAGATGTGAGGTCTTTGGCACAGCTGTTCCTGGCGACAGGCAGGGTGATCACGGGGGAGGAGAGGGTAAGGAGAGAGGGCAGCTGAACACCCCCTGCTTCCTTAGGGACACCCCATATGAAGGCCCCAGTCCCTGGAGCAAAGCACTGCCCTGTACGCGGCACCTAAGTGCTGGGGCGGACGTCCCCCCCACTCAGGGACCTGACTGTCTTGCTCGAGCTCCAACCCCTTCCCGGGCTCCGGCTCCCCCACGCGGTTCTCACCTCTGCAGGACGATGGGTGTGGGCAGGGTGTTTTCCGGGGCACACTGCAAGGAGACCAGAGCTGTAGGGCTAGAGCGCTGACCCCGGGGGCCGCCACCTGCACTGGCCTCCTGATGTCGGCAGGTTGTGGGACACCAACGGTTTAGGGGGCACAAGTGCTAAGGGGCAGACGCTGCAGGAGCCCGGCTGCACTCCCCCAGTGGCAATCACCAGGCCCGACTGTCCTGGAGGCTGGGAGGCACAGGGGTCTTCCCCCCAGCCTTGGGCCACCTTCTAGTTTTTGTGACTCCCCTTCTGGGAGCAGCTCAGCTCAGACGGCCACTGGCAGAGACAAACACCAGCCTCTTGCAGAGCGGGCCTGGGCGGGCAGGCTGCACTGTCCCCTGCTGGTGGGCCCCACCCGGCCCGGCCCTGCCTGACCTCAGTGCACTGCTGCGTCTACATGGCCAATTTCCTGCAACTCCCATAGTTCTCACCCCTGCCTGGCCAGCAGGCTCCGGGTGGATGGCGGGGACTTGATGCCTGCTACCCCAGGGTTTAGGTGTGTCCAGGCCTGACCTCCGGACCCACACTGCATCTTGGGCACCCCAAGGGTTCTCATATACTTGCTCAGAATAACCCTCCAAGCCCACCGGAGGAGAGTGGGGTGGAGAAGGGGGGCCTTCATGCCCTCCCTGGCTGGCACTCACCCCCTGCACCCAGGGGTGCTGCAGGACCTGTGCGGCACTCAGCCTCTGCTTGGCGTCGCGGACGAGGAGCTTTGAGATGAGGTCTTTGGCGGCGTAGGAGATGTGGGCCCAGTCCTTCTCAGGAAACTCATACTTGCCCTCCTGGATGCTCTCAAAGAGCATGTTCTGGGGAGGCGAGGGGGGCCATCGGTTACCACCAGCAAGGGTCTAGCTCAGGCCTAACACCATCTGGGCACACCTAGGCCGAGATATGGGTTTTTCGAGCCAAACTCCATCAGTGCCCCAGACCTGGCTCCCAGGCTCTGGCTTACGACGCTGGGCCCTGGACGGCCTGCTGGGCCCAGGGTGCGTGGTTGGCTATTCAGGGCATGACCTCAGGTCAGGACCCCAAGGTGCCCGGGTCAGCAGGCTCTGCCCGACCCCGTTTACAAAGGGAGAGTGGCCTTGAGCGGAAGTCTGGGGTTCGGTTACCCCAAACCATGGGTTTGTGCCCGCTCAGTTCCCTGACTGAGGAGTGCTTTTCTTCTGTGGCCTTCGGTGCGTGGAGGGGTGCATGTGGAGGGGAGGGGCCGTGTCCCCGAGGGGGGCGGGGGGAGAAGGTGCTTGGGCAAGGGGGCACCCTGGGGGGCACCGCGGCGCACGGGAGAGGGAAGTAGGCGGGGCCACACCTGGCAGGCCGGGCAGGCCTCGCCCCGGTCCCAGCCGCAGTCGCTGCCGCAGTGGCCCACGAAGGGGGGGTAGCCGCTGAGCAGGATGTAGAGAATGACACCCAGGCTCCAGAGGTCGCAGCGCTTGTCATAGATGCTGGCCTCCTCGCTGAAGGCCTCCACCACCTCGGGGGCCATGTACTCGGCGGAGCCGCACTGCGGGCGGGCGGGCCGGCGTCAGGGCCGCCGCGGAGGCG